CTGCGGTTACTGAAACCACGCCTTCTTTCTTTGCTGCACATTTGGGCGGCATTATGCTAATATTTCCACATAGTGACATAGACATGTGGGGGGCGTGTTAGTACGAGCCGTTTTAGGTAGGAGTGGCTGACTCTTAAATTTAATAAAGAATATATTTTTGGATTTGAGACTTTAGTCTTTGCAACTTTACAGATCTTCTTTATGCACCAAGAGCTTGTAACACTCCAAAGAGAAAGGAAAACTTTAAATTGCATCATATGACCCCTTTAACTGTTAGTCATTCTGTCCTCATTCTGTCTTCTTCAGGAGAGGGCGGAGTCTGAGGGCATGGCTTACTCCTGTGTGTACTGGGATGAGGCTGAGGGGGCGTGGTCTGGGCGGGGCTGTGAGGGGGCGTGGTCTAACAGCACTCATACAGCCTGCTCCTGCTCTCATCTCAGTAGTTTCGCTGTGCTAATGGCTCTCTATCCTGTCCAGGTACATCCGTGAGCCAGAAAAACTGTGATTTAACATTTAATTCAGATCTTTAATGTGAAATGATGATGATTTTCCCTCTTCCTCTCCTCCAGGACTCGTTTGAGTTGGTGCTGATCACGCGTGTGGGTTTAGCTCTGTCTCTGGTCTGTTTGTTTCTCTGTATCCTGACGTTCCGGTTCTGCCGCTCCATCCAAGGAACCCGAACCAGCATCCATCTCCATCTGAGCATCTGTCTCTTCATCGCAGACCTCGTCTTCCTCTGTGGGATCTCCAGCACTCACAATCAGGTGTCTGTCTCATATCTTCTGTATACTGGGGCCTTAAAGTAAAAAATGTAGAGAATCACAAGCAGTTTACTGTTTATTATGCTGGCTTGACAAAGCCAAGGTCTACTATTTAAGCTTCTTCTTCTTCTTAGACTAATTTTTCTTTCAGCTACAACCACCAAACCATGCAGACTCAGGTCTGACCTTCATGTCTTATTTGTACAATAAGACATGTAGAGTATTTAAGCTATCATTTGCAAAACTTAACAACTATCCTAGTACAATGTGCTAAATCATGCTAGAAACATGCAAAAACATGCTAGCAACATGTTAAAGCATGCTAATCATGTTTAAACATGTTAGCAACAAGCTAAAACATGTTAACATGTTAATATATACTAGCAACATGCTAAATCATGTTAAAACATGTTAAAATATGCTAGCAGTATGTTAAAACAAGCATTTTTTAGCAACAAGCTAAAACATGTTAACATGTTACAACATGCTAACAAACGTGTTAAATCATGCTAACAACATGTTAAAGCATGCTAATCATGTTAAAACATGGTATCAACAAGCTAAAACATGTTAGAATATACTAGCAACATGTTAAATTATGTTAAAAACATGTTAAACATGCTAGCATTATGCTAAAACAAGCGTAATGTGAAGGGGACATGGGGAGAGAAGAGAACACCATAGCAGGGAGAGATGTTGAAATACAAGACTTAGCTTCTAAGTAGCACCATGGTAAAGAGGAGGCCTGTACCCAGAACACCAGCTTCTGAATATTTGCTGCCAATAATAATACATAAAATTGGGCAGGGAAAGCCCTCCACTTAATCGACTTTTTTGAAGCAAAATTTTGGAAACTCTAGGAGTTTTACCTGCCCATATAAAGGAGGAGATTAGTTGATCTATATTCTTGAAGAAAGATTTGGGCAGAAACAGAGGAATAGCTTGAAAAAAGTAAAGAAATTTGGAGAGAATATTCATTTTTACAGCGTTTATCCTACCTAGTGGAGATAATGGAAGAGCCGCCCATCTTAAAAAAGCTGACTTCATCTATGAAACTAACGGTGTAAAATGTGCTGCTTAAGAAAGGGTAACATTAACACCAAGATACTTGAATTTAGAACTCTCCAAGTGGAAAGATATGTCATTCTGTTAAAATTTTTGGGCAGATTGATTTAAGGGTAAACATTCACTCTTCTGCAGATTTAGTTTAATCTAATAGATGTAACGTAGAGTAACGTAGAGTAATAAGTCGTCAGCGTATAGGGCTAATTTATGTTCGATTCCCTTGCGGATTATACCTTGAAATATAGGAAGTGTTCTAAGCATTATTGAAAGGGGCTCAATAGCTATGGCAAAAAGTAATGGGGATAGGGGACATCCCTGGCGTGTACCCCGTGATAAGGTAAAATACTCAGAGTTAACACTGTTAGTAGAAACTGAAGCTTGTGGGTCAGCATATAGTATAAGAAAGGGTAACATTAACACCAAGATACTTGAATTTAGAACTCTCCAAGTGGAAAGATATGTCATTCTGTTAAAATTTTTGGGCAGATTGATTTAAGGGTAAACATTCACTCTTCTGCAGATTTAGTTTAATCTAATAGATGTATTATCACAGGAATATATGCAATTGGATCGGTAACGTAGAGTAATAAGTCGTCAGCGTATAGGGCTAATTTATGTTCGATTCCCTTGCGGATTATACCTTGAAATATAGGAAGTGTTCTAAGCATTATTGAAAGGGGCTCAATAGCTATGGCAAAAAGTAATGGGGATAGGGGACATCCCTGGCGTGTATCCCGTGATAAGGTAAAATACTCAGAGTTAACACTGTTAGTAGAAACTGAAGCTTGTGGGTCAGCATATAGTAGACGTATCCATGATATCAATCCCTCCCCAAAACCGAACTCCTCCAGACCTCTAAACAGATAATCCCACTCTATCCTATCAAATGCCTTTTCGGCGTCTAATGAAATGATCACCTCAGAGGAAACACTATTTTGTCTTGAGTATAAAATATTAAAAAGAGTACGAATGTTAGAGAATGAATAGCGTCCTTTAATGAATCCAGTTTGTTCCTCTGAGATAATACTAGGAAGTACTGCCTCTAAACGAGAGGCCAAAATCTTGGCATCAACATTGAGGAGGCTAATAGCTCAAAACAAGCATTGTTTAACAAGTTAAAACATGTTAACATGTTACAACATGCTAGCAACGTGCTAAATCATGCTAGCAACATGTTAAAGCATGCAAATCATGGTAGCAAAATGCAAAAAAGTACTAGCAATGTGTTAATACATGGTAGCAACATGCTAGAACTGTGTTAATAACATTTTATTGACTTCAATAAAAATCTTCAAAATTTCAAACAATGCTGTCAAGCCAACATCAATGTTTGTTTACAAACTTTACTAATGTAGTTGTGCTGTTTCTCTTCGTTTGTCTCAGGTGGGGTGTGCGATTGTGGCCGGTCTGCTTCACTTCTTCTTCTTGTCTGCGTTCTGCTGGATGCTGCTGGAGGGGGTTCAGCTCTACCGGATGGTTGTGCTGGTGTTTCACACCACATTAAAGCATCTCTACATGTATCTGGTGGGATACGGGGTCCCTCTCGTCATCGTCACCGTCTCTGCCATCGCCTTCCCAGCGGGATACGGCACCGAGCGACAGTGAGTGTGTGTGAATTTGTTCGTGCTTTTCGTGTGAACAAGTTTGACGGGCTGTAAATCACAGTGTTATCCAAGTGCTTTCCAGCTGTTTTGATGATTATTTTGTGTCTGTGCTCCAGCTGTTGGCTCTCACTTGACTACAATTTCATATGGAGCTTCCTCGCGCCCGTCTGCATCATTGTCGTCCTCAACAGCTTTGTCTTCATCATCACCGTGTGGAAACTGGCCGAAAAATTCACCAGCCTCAATCCAGACCTCTCCAAACTCCGCAACATCAGGTGAGTGTTAATTAGCTGAGCCCAAAATAGATTCAGTCATTGAGTCTAACCCATTTCTGGTGATTTTCAGGGGTTTTACGGTGACCGCTGTGGCTCAGTTCTGTATTCTTGGAGGGATGTGGGTTTTCGGTTCCTTCCTTTTCTACGAGAAAGTAACTCAGGTTGCGTTGTACCTCTTCACCATCCTCAACAGCCTGCAGGGGGCGCTCATCTTCATCATGCACTGCCTGCTGTCCAAACCGGTACTTGCACACAAACAAATGCACAACGCACCAAAAAGGAAAAGACAGTAAAGTCTGGATTCAAACTACATTTCAAAGATCTCATCAAGTCATAGTCAAACAGACATACTTCTGACTCCCTGCATTAAACATTAAACTGTATTCTGGCCAAGAGCCATCAGTGTGTTTTCAACGTGTTTTGTGTCGCCCCCTTCAGGTCAGAGAGGAGTATCGCATGCTGATTAGCAGGATCTGCTCACTTAAGGAGAAGAAATATTCAGAATTCAGCACCAATCACTCCAGCAACAGTCAGGTAAATCTGCATTGCAAGGACATCATCGTTGAATATGTTAACTTTCACGTCAACGTTTTATAAAGTATATATAAATGTTAAGATAAACATTCTAACAACATTCTCAGAATGTCCATATGATGTTATTGATGTTTTCTGAATGCCAACGCCAATGCTCTTGGGATATTACAAATAAATGTTCAAAGAATGTTAGATTAAAGGTTAGGAGAATGTTGCATTGCAACATTTTAAATAATGTTCTAATCACAAGAAAACTGGACATTTTAACGCTTTAGAAACATTGCAAATCTGTTCCCACAATGTTTTTTTGAACATAAGTAGTCTATGCTGTTTTCTGTTGATACAAGCTTTTTTAATACGAAACAAAGTCTCGGTTGCCAAATTTTGTTAGTTTATCACAAAATTCGGAAATAAATAGTTTTAATCCTCTTCAATGTGACAGATCGCTGTAGCGTCTCAGTTCAAGCGGCATGTAAATCGATCATCTCTTCCTCTTTACAACTAGTTATAACACAAAATAAACATGAATGAGCATCAGAAGGTGTTGAAAGAAACAGAACAACTTAATGCAATGTTTCATGTCTCACTCAATGAGTGTTTCGACCACAGAAAGATGTCGATAAAACAGCTTGTAAACAATAATGTCACATTGATTTACCTCAGAAAAGCCACTCAATGTACATTAACCCATTAGACAGCTAGAAAAACATAACTTTAGAGGAGATTTTTGATACATTTATTTATATTTTACTTCACCTGTTAGTGATGTATTTATTATTTAATGCATGTTTGAATAATTATATTTGTTGCTTCAATGATGCAGAGTAGAAACATAATTATTAAAAAGTACTATATAAAAACTGGCTTATGTGCAATTTTAAAGTTTGTGATTATTTTGGCTATAGTGTGCATCACTAGATTGAGGTTCTGCTTCTAACGGTGTCCTCTGACCTTTACAGCAACCTCTACGGAGCAATCCGACCACAGGAGAGTCCAAGATATAGAGCGGCTGTCAGTCCTGCAGGATCTTTATAGATGTTGACCTTTAAAGACACATGGAAGCGTGACTTCTCACAGAGCTCTAATTCTGCAGCACATGGGGCTCCTTTCCACTGAGAAGATCTTAAACTGCTTGCTTTCTGTCTATTAAGCAAGAATATTTCAGATGTGGGGCTTGTCACATGACCTATGCGTCACTAGAGGCGGATTCGTATCATATCAATGAAATTAATAAAACATGCAGCTCAGTTTTCTTCCTCTAATGGACTTCGGAGACACTTTAACTGTTTTTGTCGCACCTTTAGTGAAGAACGTCTTACATTACATGCAAAAGGCAGCTTTCATTTGCTTATATAAGAAAATGTTGTGAAGATGATATTTGAAGAACTAGTCTCCAATCTGCCTTATGAAAGAGGCCTTAATCTATTATCAATCACAGACCACCACGTTTATATGATCTGCACTTACATGCCACTTTATGTCTTTAAGCTGTTGGGAAATTTGGCCTCCATTTCTGTGAGAAACAGATGAGAGGTACTTTAGATTTATAAAGCTATTTAAACAGAGCCGATGTTGCATTGCAGTAAGACTGCTTACTTTACCTCCAATCATCCTTCAAATCAAAGTAATACTAGTCCCGAAACTACAATATCGTGGAGACGTCTGATGTTTCCAAGGAAATTTCTCAGAAGCTGCAAATACAAGCGGTAAAGTACCTTCCTTCTAAAGCCCAGTTCTCACATGCAGCTTGAATTTTCCCATTAATTAGTTGGTCCACAAGGTGGCCACACTGGGTGGGGCCATTGTTTCACATTGGAAAAATAATTTTTATCCGTCACCTGGGGAAAAAAAATAAGGTTGACAGCACAAAGATGAGGTCGGCTGCCTGTGCTCACACACGTTATCATTCGCGTCAAAACGCATACTTTGGACTTCAGTGTTTCCAGTTCGAGAACAAAGTGATTTTGTAAGATGATACAGCCAATGCGAACGTTTTAAACGCCTTGCTTCTGTAACATAAAAGTTTAAGCTCTCTATTGTGTGTAATGATATTTGATGAAGAAACAAATGCTTTATTTTACATTTTCCAGAACATTTTTTGTATCTTTTGAATTCAAATAAGTTTTTTTGCTGTTATTTTTTTTTACTTGAAATAAGGGTCATGTCTAGCCCTGATGTGGTACTGCAATGTTTTTCAGCAAGTATTAAATAATCACTAAAATAAGCCGTGGCGGATTTCTGTTTTGTGTTCCCATGAGTGGCCTTGCCAAATACACCATAAACATACATTTCACTTCTATATCATACATCGATCTGCACATTAAAGTAGTTTGAAGGAAACACTTTTCTATCCAGAGGATTCATTTCAACCCAGTGAATATCTTCCCTTGGCGGCACAGCGATGATATGGAGCTAATAACATTCTGAGAAAAGCTCTCTCTTGATTAAATGAACCAAGGAAAGCCATCCAAGCAAATGTTCTCTTAATGTTAGCATTTGGTTCCCGTTTGAGAACCCAATAATAACATTCTTATTTTTTTTAAAACCATCAAATATTGTTCCCGGAACAGTGCAGGTTTTTTTTTTTTTTTGAAGAATCTTTCCCCGATGGTAACTTAAAGGTTTCATTTTTAAAATCATGTAAACTCAACGTTGCCATGTTCAAAAAAAAAAAAAAAAAGTTGCCGATTGTTTTGTGCAACAACCTACAGAGAATATCAAGGTTATGCAGTGTTTTATCTTTACACTGGAATACTTAATTCAGTTTCTCTAGTATTTCTTGCCGTAGGCTTCAATAAGCTTGAGACCTTTTATTTAGTTAGTAAAGGTCTAGTATTAGTTAATAGATTGCTATGACGATTTTGCTTGTATTTTTGTGTGTATTCTGGTGGGTCTGAAAACTCTTTAAATAAGCACAAGTACGGTTTCTCTCTGGGGTGAATCCTATCATGATATTTCATGTGGGTTGGAAGATTAATTTGTTTGCACTGTCTTTCTGCTCTTTTTTTCTTTCGAAGTTTCTTCGCGGGACGAATGTTTTCCCACAGGTGGCTGCCGAGAGAACAGGGACACAAACTGAGGGAAGTAACAGTCATTTCTAGCCCTGATGTTTCAGGATGAGCTGAATTAGTCTTTTTTCCAGATTGACTGATGAAAGTCACTCTGATGATTCTGGAGCAGTTTCTTCTTTAGCGTGTTTGTTCTGATGGGTCTGAAAGCTACCTAAATAAGCGAATCTCTCGCCGCAGATGGAGCAGCAGTAAGGTTTCTCTCCGGTGTGAACTCGCTGATGGACCTTCAGGACGTCTGATCGAGCAAACGTCTTGTCACACTGCAAGCATTTGAACGGTCTTTCTCCGGTATGAATCCTCTTGTGGCTTTGTAAAGTATCAAACTTACTGAACCTCTTCTCGCAAACGCTGCAGTGATACGGTTTTTCTCCCGTGTGGACTCTCTTATGAAATCCAAAATGTGTCGGATTGGAAAAGCTCTTCCCGCAGTGGGAGCACAGGTACGGTTTCTCTCCGGTGTGCATGCGCTCGTGACACTTCAGATGGGATTTCTGCCGGAAGCGTTTGTCACAGTGTTTGCACTGATACAGTTTCTCCTCAGAGTGGATTCTCTGGTGTGACTTTAGACTGCCTGACTCTGTGAAGGTTTTCCCACATTCGCTGCACTGGTACGGTCTCTCATTGGTGTGAACACGCACATGTTTCTTCAGATGAGATCCGTGGTTGTAGGTCTTCTCGCAGTGAGGGCACTTGTACGGTCTTTCTCCCGTGTGGATTCGCTTATGAGCTTCCAGATTTGCTTTGGTGCTGAAATACTTTTCACATTCGCTGCACTGGAAAGACTTTTCGTCATGTGTCTTTATATGAGCTTTCATATTCTGAGCAGTGGTGAAAAAATCCTTCCCGCACTGTTCACAGCGAAACTCCTTCTTCACCCTGTGCTCTTTTGAATGAAGTTTCCTCTCTTCTGCGGATGAAAAGCTGATGTCGCATCTCTTGCAGCTGAAGTCTTTCTGTTCTGTGTGTTTTCTCTTGTATCTCGTTAAGTTTCTCTTTGAGCTCAGTGTTTTTCCACACTTGGCATGAGAAAAACTTTTGACCTTCAGCTGCTCTTTTGATGTTAAGGCTGTTTCTCCATCAGAAGATGAACCGCCTTTGTCATCTGAAATGAACAAAATAATTATAAATTCTGGATTTTAAAATATACTTGAAAAGAGTTTGTGTGTCATACAGAAATCCTGTAATATCTGTCTATATAAGTCTAGGGGTGAATCATTAATAATAAAAAAATGCAATATGGTTTAGTGTAGTTAATCAATCGCAAAAAGCCTGCAAGTTAATTAAACTCATGCATAGACATTGATAAAGTGAATTTGAAAATTTAACATTCACCACCCATTTACATTTAGTCATTTAGCAGACACTTTTATCCAAAGCCACTTACAAATGAGCACAATAGCAGCAATCAAAACTAACAAAAGAGCAACAATATGTAAGTGCAAATGACAAGTCTCGGTTAGCTTAACACAGTACACGTAGCAATGTATTACTTATATATACACACACACACACACACAAAGAAAAACAAGTAGATAGATCAGAAAAAATAGAAAGCTAGTGTTACTTTTTTAAAATAAGTATAAATAGATATAATCTATAATCTATTTATAAGTATAAATAGATAAAGTAGAATTAAAATAGAATAGAAAGTGCTAAAGTTAGAGGGTCAAACAAAGATGGAACAGATGTGTTTTTAGCCGATTCTTGAAGATGGTTAAGGACTCAGCTGCTGGGATTGAGTTGTGCAGGTCATTCCACCAGGAGGGAACAGTTAATGAAAAAGTGCGTGTAAGTGATTTTGAGCCTCTTTGAGATGGCACAATAAAGCGACGTTCAGGACGCAAGCTTCTAGAGGCACATAACTCTGATTGAAGTAATGAATTTAGGTAAAGGGGTGCAGAGCCAGTGGTGGTTTTGTAGGCAAACATTAATGCCTTGAATTTTATGCGAGCAGCTACTGGTAGCCAGTGCAAACGGATAAACAGAGGTGTCAAAAGCAGCGGACAGATCCAGCAAGATAAGTATTGAAGATTTGGAATCCGCTCTTGCCAGTCTTAGGGCTTTAACAACTGAGAGCAAGGCAGTCTCGGTTGAATGTCCACTTCTGAAATCAGACTGGTTGCTGTCGAGAAGGTTGTTCTGTGTGAGAAAGCCTGAGACATGGTTGAACACAGCTCTTTCAAGTGTTTTTGCAATGAAAGGTAGAAGGGAAACTGGTCTGTAGCTCTCTAAAAGATTTGGGTTAAGAGTGGGTTTCTTAAGAAGTGGTGTTATACGAGCCTGTTTACATGTTGAGGGAAAAACACCAGTGTGAAGGGATGTGTTAACGATGTGAGTGAGTGCAGGTACAACGGCAGGAGAAATGGCTTGAAGGAGATGAGATGGAATAGGATGATTGGGAAGGATGAGTTTGGAGACTTCTGCCTCAGAGAGTGAACAGAAGGATGTGAACGAGTGTATGTTTGCTGGTAAGATGGTCTTGACAGGTTGTGGTGTGGCAAATTGTGCATTGAGGTTTGTAATTTTATTAATGAAGAATGTGGCATAGTCGTCAGCTGTTAGAGTTGATGAAGGAGGGGGAGGAGAT